GCAACTGTTATTTAAGCTAGATCAAACTCCAAAACCTAACTGGAAAAAGTATTTTCACTTAACCTTGCAAATTGAGAATTTTCCTGAGTTTGCCCCTCAATGAAGTTTGTCATTGCATTGCATCCCTAATAAATTATAAATTATCAGCAAGGAATATATGAAAACATACTGATACTAATAAAATTCTGTACTGCAAAATTTGGAAGAACGTGCAAACGCTAGTTTAAACTCTCCACAGAGCAAATAAGAGTTCTACACAACAGGCATGATATAGCTTCATGCGAACGTTTTTTGAAGGGAAAAGGAAATCTACAATCGATTAGAACTGACTTCTGCCCTGATAAGGCTTCTTGTACGTATTTATCATCTTCATACGGATTGGATCGGATCAACAGCGGATAGCCTAGCTCTACACAATAGTTTTGAGACTATATTGAATTAGTGAAAAATAGGGACCGCTTACTCCATAAATTCTGATATTCGGCAAAATTCTCGCTTTTTCTAAGAAGCATTTGCTTTTCTGCAACGCTGCTCTTCTTCTTTTCAATGCGTATACCCATGCTGCACATCTCATTTTCTACGGAAGTAAGTATTATATCTCCAACCATAAAATTAAGAATACAATTCTCAAGGACTTCATTCTTTCAAGCGCAACTCCGCCAAATTTTAGAAAAATTAGAAAAATGAAAAGTTGCTGCCTTATATTTTTAACCATAACAAGACAAAAGAAAGAAATTTCATGGAGCTTATTCGTGCAAGTGATAGAGAAAGCTGAAAGCTTACTAGATCGTTTATTACATGCCTATTCTTCGTCCAAAAACCTAGAAAATGAAGAAATAATTTGAGGGTTGTGACTAGTACACACATATAAGGTGGACCAAAAGTGAGTACCCACTCACTTATGAATTTTCATGGTGGCTGAGTGAGTGACTTTTTCTGAAGTGATGGGTATCTCGAACTTCGTTTTCCTGGCTCAAACAGCTCTTAAAGGCAGTGTCTCACCAAAGTTGAGGTCGCGCGGATCTTTACATATTCTATTATAGGGACCTCTAGATAGGTCATTGCAACAAGTCCCACTCAATTTGATCCCCTCCACGCTGAGAAAAATTTGCTCAAAGTGGTACGCGGAGAGCCAGTTGGTACGCGCGGACGACTCCTTCGGTCTCCCCCCTGACGCGTTTGAACATGTCCCTCCACTTGCCATCCACCTCCCCTATGTTGCTGCCACTGTGGCTGAGGCTGCAGTTGGAAGGTACAACTCGTCCACGTTGCTTCCGCGGGGCCTCCAGAAAACGGGGTTTTTGGGAACTTCGTGCGATTTTAAGTCCATACAATGCTAGACAGGGTCCGACAGGCTTGCAAAATGCAAAAATCTCGGCACCTAAATTTTGGTGAGACACTGCCTTTAAGTTTGAGCCAGATCAATAAGACTCAAGCGGAATTCTTACGAAAAACTTCGAGGGAGGGGGATTATAGAAATGTATATTATATGTATGTATATGTAGCTATAGTACTTCGTCCTGAACTTTAGAAAAATAATGAGGACGCAATTATGACACGACGCAATATGAACTCGTGTATATATCGCCTCAGCACTGAAGCGAAGCCTGCAGTTTTGTCAACTTAATTAAATTGGTTTTATGCTTTAAAGATAACAAAATACGTTTCAAAATTCATCTCGGCGTAAATCCCCCATGCAAGCTAATCAGCATCTGATTCCAAGAAGTATCCTCAAATAATCTTTGCCAATATCAAGCACCCCCGCCAATGTGGACCTAATCGACTCGGAGAACACATTGGCGCAGAATGAGTAACAGGAACCAGTGAGAATTGTTTTTGAGCCTATTAAATCATAAATGATGTCGGATCACCACATCGCAACGTTTGAAATCAAGAACGACTTCAAAAAAAAAGTCCTTTGTTTTACATTAAGATAAGACTACTAAATAAGAAATTAAACATCAATTTGGGAGACTATCCTGTTTCGTCTTTTTTCTTGGACTTTTTTTCATTTATGGGTTTGGGACCCTTCAGTTAAGAGATGAGGGAGCGCCGGAGTCAATACCATGGAAAAAATTGTTTATTGATTTATTGCACTTCTGTACAGGGTGTCCCAAAAAAATGTGCCTACCGTTTGATTGTAATAACTTTCTTGTAATGAAGTCTTTCGAGAAGATATAGGTACCGTTTCATAAAGCGAGGTTAAACTTAGACTAACAGTATGGAGCGGATCATCTATCGCTCTTCGCTACTTTAAGATTACGGTACAAACTTCGACAAGGATTTTAGGCCATTGGAGGCTATATTCTGCCTCGGAACAAAACCAAACAAGCCAAAAACCCTTCTACTACGGTAATGAGAGCCGCTGATTTCAAATTTGAAATTCCCATTTTATTATGATGCTTCTTTCCAAAGTTATTCCCGGTAAATCTTAATAACTCAATTCCCAGCATTTGGCAGAAACGTAATTACACCGTCAAAAAAGCTCAAAACACTCGTCAAACTTGTTAGGTGGAATCAGCATGCGCGAAAACCCTACTACACGGTTTTTCGAATTTTTTGAAAAAAAATCTGTTAGGTGGTATATTTCACTTTGATTCCATATGCTGAAAGTTCTTACCGTAATCCTACAGTAACGAAGAGCGACAGATGATTCGCTCCATACTGTTAATCTAAGTTTAACTTCGCTCTACAAAAGGGTCCTAAAGCATCTTGAAACACTTCATTACAAGAGAGTTACTTACAATCAAACAGTAGGCACATTTTTTTGGGACACCCTGTAGTTTCAAAGAAAAAACAAAAGTTTGAACTTGATTATCAGAGATACCAACTACTCACACTTTACGCTAAAATGGTAGCTTTCTCGCTTTATTTGCCTCCATCAAAAACAGGTCTAGTCGGCAAAAGCAGATAGCTTGTTTTTTATTGACTTTTCTAGAGCTTGGACTGAGTCAGGATTGAGTGTAGAGAATGATCTAGCGAAAACGTACCCTCTTTTGTTTCGTCTGCAACTTTTGTGTTTGTTTATAACTTTTTTGAGAACACGCGTGAAGAGGATTGTAAAGGTTTATCGCTTGATTTTCATGATAACACCTAGAACTGGATCATATGCTATTCCATTAAGAATTACTCTGGTAAGCTTGTAGAGCATGCAAATAAAGGTTGCTTGGTCGCAAGATGTCAATAACATTTGAACAGCTCATTAAGTATTAATTAAAAATGAGCCCAGTTCTGCAAAAAAGCAACGCGGACTAGAATAAGAAAAGCAATTAAGTGACAAGTATTCTCCTACTTTCTTGCCAACTTCGCAACTGAAGTATCACTGTTTTCTTCTAAAAATACGTAAGCTCGCACAGAACACTTTTTACGAACAAAATCACTAATGACAATTAGTGCCTTTGGTTCAAAGTATGTTATGGTTGCTGGTTAAGCTGAGTTAGCATGAACGTAATCTGCTTCCTCTTACTATGCTAAAGATCACATTTCATCTGCTACATGACACCTTGCTGGATACGATTTGACTGGATACAAAATGCAGCCGGTGAAGGAGTAAATAAGTAGGGAGTATTTGCAATTCTGCAGCAGAATTTGAGATATTCGTGCAAGCAAGATTCGATCTTGCCTTGCGTGTATTTTTTGCAGATTTCAAGGTACAGTAGATGTTGCGATCGATTCTCTGCATATCTAATAATTTATCACATTTGTGGCGGTAACTCTGTTGCCAGTAACGCTCTAAATACAAAATTGAAAAAAGAAGTATTCTATGCTACCAAGGGGCTGAACACCAACTGAACAAAGGATAAGGTAACTGTTCCATGAAGAAAATCAAGCTCTACAACATGCTTTAAGAGATTCAGCACAAATCGCAATCCACGTAAAGTTTTGAGAAAATCTAAACGTCTAATAAGCTCAAAATAATCTCAGCCTAAAAAACTACAAAGCTCCAAGGCCAATCACATAGTGAAATCAAAGCAAAAAATGCACCTTTTCAGGTTTTCCGAAGTTAGTCAAAGAGATAAAACAATCCACTTAGGAAATATACGGAATCGTCAGATTTCTAAATATTTTGTGCCTAATCGTCATTTCTCATTTGATAAGACATATACACTTGATTTTCATGGTTTTACTTCCAGATGTACGTCAAGTCATGTGTGAGAGAAATTTAGTTTTGCGTTTGTTATTTGAAAGTTTTTCTGATTGTTAGCAAGCGGAAAGGATGAATGTTTGATGCGTCCAATGCGCGGCCATTTCTGGGAGCTTTTAGGTACTTTAGTTGTAATCCGTCTTTTTGGAGTACTTACGTTCAGATGTCGTCTTTCAGCTTCAAATTATACTTGAATCACGATTCTTGCGAATGTCCAGTAATCATCTTGTGAAGTGCTTGCTTTGCTTTCAAATAGTACCCTCAAATGTTGTCGGGGGTACAATGGGGGTCTCATTATGGTGCCAAGATAAACTCACAAAAGCAAAAGTATCATAGTTTATCATTTGCCCACATTTTTTAGCGTGATAGGGAGCGCAGTATTTGGATAGTTATGTAAATTAATGAATAGTTATTGCTTTTTGCCAAGAAAAACTAAATCGTAGTCATATCGAGAGATGACTTTTGGGGTACGTGAATTTCTAAACCATAGAAGATTATTCAGAAACTCTTCGAAACAATTTATACAATTATGGACTTGGCGCATTAGCCAGACTAGCATGATTCGTTTGTTTTTCTTCGTATGAAGTGATTTAATGTGATGACTTCCGTAGCCAATTATATTGCCATTAGCTATATCGCACATCCTCATCGCATCAAAGTGATTTGCGATGAGGTAAAGAAGGGGAGGATAAGCTACAAAATTATTTCGAGTGATTTTACAGAGTATAGGAGTTTTCCAGAAAGATGTCGCATGCATTTGTATTGGAAGAAGTTGAAATTCAAGTGGTAACTGACTGTAAGATCTTTCCAGGAAAGAAAATGAAAATTGAACAAAAAAATAGAGAAATCACCGTACCTGTATAGGTGGGTAGACATTTCGCACATAGTACGCAACACCGGACGAGTCGTCTTGTGGACAATACAGTATGTTATCGCTACGGTATTCACATCGATCCATGTCGATAGCCGACATGACGCGACTGTATCTGGGAGCGAAAATCTCGAATTCAACGACCATGTCGAGCAGATCACGACGTCTACGAGGTGCGAATAGCGACAACAGCACGAATATCCGGATTTGATCTAGGTAGGAGCCGCCTGACGACGCGCGCGGACGAGTCGGTGGGCGGGCGAGGAGATCGAGTTGGACCCCGCCCACCCCCGAAGGAGGAATAGGAGGATCTTTTGCAAGAGAGAAGGTGTTTCAACATGTAGAAGCTAATTATGCAGAGAATAGTAATTTATAATTGAGGAGAGAGCATGGTGAGAATGAAAAGATGAAAAAAAAAGAATGTAGCTATAAACACTTCTAAAAATTCAAAAATACAATAAAGTGCAGTGTTGAAATGTTCCACTTCCTCGTTATGTTGTGAATTGTACTAAAAACGATTTCGTGACTTCCTACTAGTACCTCTTAATAACTCAAAATCATTTAGATGCTTTGCTAATCGGATGAGCCGTCTTTAGTGCAACCTCGTGGGCATGAACTATATGCTATGGAAGTACTTTTGCTTCATAAGATAGATGTGCACATTTTTGACTCCTATGGGAATAAAAGGACCCTTTGAGCTCAGCTGAACTGATGTCAGTACTTGTAGAGCAAGTTTGGCAGACTTCTTCTCTCAGCTTTCTATCAGGTTGGCTAATAAGTAAGTCCCGGGAGGCGTGCAAGTGTTACCCAGGCAGCCGCCTGGCAACGCAGCCAGCCGCCGGAGCTGGCATCAACGTCGCGGCTGAGCTACCGTAAGCGCGCTCTCGTCGTCCACATCCTCTCGCAGAGAGATTTTCGCAGCAGCCTCGCACCTCGTAGCGCTGAGGTGCGAGAATTCCCTTAGAGGTCGCGCTACTGCCATAAATTATACACCGATCAAGACAGCAAAAAATTTTGTTTTTGAAGTTTTTGACTTATATACGCAAAAAAGTTTTTGCGTGTATATATGGTACACTGGAAAGAGCAAATCAAAAAGAATCGGATGGTCAACTCTGTTTCCTCAAAATAATTTTTCTGATAATGAAATGGTGCAGGAAAGAAGAATGCTCATATTTTTTTCTCGAGTTCCCGAAAAATCATGCTACGAAAAACAAACTGAAGTCAGGTATAATATGTAGATTCGGTACCCACACAACAAATAATTAAATTTGTAACCATTTGCGTGGCCATAGATGGTCAAATTCGCGCGCTCTGAAATGCCCAGAATTTGACGGATAATAAGGTAATATCTAATAAACTACAAATTCAAAACACCTCCAAGAACAAATTTTCTACATACGTATTTTGAGCAAGATGGATGTTAAGATTCTTTTGCCCCAAAGGTCGCAAGAAATGTGCCAAAAAACTATTCAATAATCTATTTTATATTTTTCATGGATTCACTCCACAATATTAAATAATACTTTCGTTTGATTTCATAATCATTCAGTCATTTTATTTTTTTAGTTTTTTTGTTTTTGTATATCTTTTTTGCATCTCACTAATAAATTAGAAATTTTTTGATGTCTTGATCGATGTATAATTTATGGCAGTAGCGCGACCTCTGAGGGAATTCTCGCACCTCAGCGCTATGAGGTGCGAGGCTGCTGCGAAGATATCTCTGCGAGAGGTTGTGGACGACGAGAGCGCGCCAACGGTAGCTCAGCCGCGACGTTGATGCCAGCTCCGGCGGCTGGCTGCGTTGCCAGGCGGCTGCCTGGGTAACACTTGCTACGCACCCGTAAGTCCCTTATGACATGCAAATTCAAAGCTCTATAACAATTCGCGTAGCAGCTGTTCACCTACCATAAGATCTTTATTGTTAGCCTCAAGCCTCTTTTCTCAAATATCAAGTACCCTAAAACCTTATAGATAGGGGCTTCCATCAGATAAGTCCGTCTCCAAATAAGTCCTGTTTACCTGACAGCCTTTGGACTCACTGCAGAATTTTAGGGAGTTATGATGGAAAAAAGGGACTTTCTTGTAGGCGGACTCAGCTGAAGGATCTATAGGGCAGATATATCCAGAAAAAGCGGATTTATGTGTAAGATTGTCACCAAAAAATGAGAGCTATGCCATATGGTCACACATTTGAAAATCGCATTCGAATTTCTAAGTTTCGTTCTCAACCTTTAGTTGGTGCAGAAGCGAGTGAATTGTTAATCGAAATAACATAAGCTTTGGCTAGACGGCGAAAAACGATGGAGATGGTGACTTGCTGTCTGCAAATATGCAGTCTGAAAGTGAAAATTTTCAGGCATTCGCGCGCGGAAGTCAAATTTTGAGCAATCCAGATCCCTCGTGATTATCTATAGACATGCAGATGATAGAAAATTTGGAAACTTGTTTTGTAAACACTGAATATACATTTTACATCTGAGTTCAGTTTGTTTTTCGGAGCAGGATTTTCGGAAAGTCTGAGAAAAGATTTGACCATTCTCCTCCTGCAACATTTCGTTATCATAGAAGGAATTTTTGAACAAACAGAGTTGACCATCCGTTCCCTTGATTTGCCTTTTTCAAAGTTACCATATAATCACACAAATTTTGATTTGTAACTTTTCTACAAAGCGCTAAAAACGACCGCATCTATTTTTCAACCTAATACCCCTTCCCCGAGTCTAGTTAACTTCGAGGATTTTGGTGCGAAGATCTAGTACAGGAAGCACTTTCATATACTTTGCAGAAGACAGTCTGGAACCATTTGATTATTCGTTTTCAATACTAGGAGCTGCATACCCGATCCACGCAAAATTCAGAGATAAATGTAAAGTTGCCATTACCAGCACACTTTCTTTAAGTAATCAACGAACAAATAACAGAAGGGATCTACTACAAACAGAAGGGATCTACCGCGATTGAAATCCTCTGAACATCTACACTTTCAGCAAATTCATTCTGCGATGCCGTAGCATTACCATAAAATCCAAATTACTGTTTCGAGGTACTTTCCAAAGAGTCCATAAAATACATGATGTCCCAAGAAGTGACCGAATCTCGAATTCAACAATGCCTTAGTCCGCATAGCATCCGCGGATCGGATCAGCTCGGAACCAATGGCGTACCGAGGGGAGGCCCCCCCCCCCCACCCGGAATGGATCGAAAACTTTTTGGAAGTTACTTACATGAGTTACAAAAATTTGCAAGTGGCTTGTTCATACTTAAAAGTAATCAAATTTTCAAAAATTTCTAGAACAATTTGGCATCAGAAAAAAAATTTTTTGGAGGTGTGGCCGAGGCTGCGTCTTTCTTCCAAAATTTTAGACTTGTGGGCCCAAGAAAATTCTAGGAGCATACCAAGAATTTTTTCGAAGTGCGTGGCTAGTGTCAAAAAATTTTTTTATCGCGGCCCCTCCCTCGAAGGGAAATCCTGGGTATGCCACTTATGAGCCTATTGCAGGGCTAGCTTCAATTCAGGTTTGTAATAGAACAGAGACCAGCAATCACTTTTCATTACTGCATAATTGCGGTAAAAGCTTTCAGAAGGATTTTAAATCAGCGAAAGCGCATATTACCTCAATGAATTGAATGAAAGCTAAAAACTCCAAGTTAGCGCGCTTGTTCTATAAATAAACGTCGCACTTTACCGTACTTGTGCTAAGTTGTGCCGGGTAACTTGGAAGAAAGAATGCCTCAACACATCAACTGCTCTTGCATGTTTCTGTTTGTATAAATCATATGCGCACTATATTCAATGGCTCTGCTGTCTCATGGTCAGATTACATTGCATAACTGATTCATTACGAGGGCCAATCGATGAAGAGAATTCTTAATTGGTATTAGTTATGTTGCAGTAAATCCAAATTTATTAATCTATATGGTAAGTATCGTTAAATAGATCATAGTCAGATCAAACTAAATTACTCTTCGTATCTGCGCGCAAACATTATCTAAATTGTGATGTTCGCAATTAAGCGTAGACTTCCTTTGCACCTTTGGTCGGCTATTTGCATGATTACTACGCGCATTAGGCGCTTGTATAAACCTCACTGAACATATTAAGCGATAATGATGAGACACGAACCGCTTTATCGAGGTTCCTGTGCCTAACACATGCGATATACGTCATGGTTGACATTCGTGTGATTTTTTGCCATGCGAAATTCAGAAAAAAATGTATTCAGTCTGGATCTTTGCAGAAGACATTAACAAGATGAAATTATGGCCGGAATTCAAAATCCTCTTCGAAATGCCTGACTGATTTGCTTACTTCCATTTTTGGCAGTAAAATAATGCGAAAACAGCTGTTAGAATTGGTCTGGCCAGAATCATGAGAAAATCCAAAGCGAAATGTTGCGGGAAAGCAAGCGAGTTTCTAGTTCAAACGCTTCAAATTTAGAAGCTTCCTTCATGATTGACTTAGTCATCTCTATGATAGCTTATTCTCATTGTTCAAAGTTGCTTTGTCACTTTTTCCAATTATGGTCACCGTGCGTATAGTGAAAATAAAATAAAATAGAAAATAAAATAAAATAATTTTTTGCATTCTCATATGAGTCAAAGCCCTGAAAAGATCATATAGTTCACATACATATATAGTAGTCATTACACCAAAATTCAACGCCAGGCTATTTTGTCGCGGAAATCAAGAGAAAACATCAGGTAATTAAATAGCAGTAAATACAACGATGGTTACGAAGTCTATAAAAGTCGACTCGCACTTCATTTGAGAGTTTGATCTCAACTTGGCAATTCTTTTCATCTCAAACACATTGTTTCTAAATGCTGCATTTAATAAAGTAGTTCGTATGTCAGTTGCAGATGTCCTGCAAAAAAATGCCAAAGATGCCATGAGAGAGAAAATGAGAATGTTAAAGTTGTCAGACTTTTCATGGTTCTTCCCATCACATCAGATTCCATTCAACCCTTTCATGCACAACTCCATGCATCAAATTCGTGGCTCATCTCTAGTCTTACGTTATAGCAGTAATGATTATATAGGAACCGACAGTATGTTATGCTGATGTAAATCAAGGGGTGGACGTCGAAAATTGGCTCAAATCACTCGTCCTCTAATTTAAAGATGTCAGTTTCCACTTTTTTTTCGC